GGTTTCTCGGCTAGCATATTTATCAAGTTCGCGTTACCGTGTTTTGAACAGTATGTTGTTGTGACACTGTTGACGGGTGATTTCGATTTGTTGTTGTTTACCGCACTTACAACTTTTCTTTTTAGGGGCATGGGACCCCAGCCGGGTGGTTTTGCGGCGCCCTTCCCGCTTGGCCACGGCTGCGTAGGTCGCAAGTTGCAAGTTGGAGTGCCCGACAGGGACGTTTTTTCGGTTGTCTTTGAACTATGCTTTGGTTCTTGTGTACGCGGATGAAGCGGAGGAGGTGCGGCTTCGTTTTGCGCTCCGTCTAGGGATGCATGGAGGTGTCACCGGCGTTAGTTCGGGCGTCACCAATGCGCGCGTTATTATTGTCTTTTTCGCCTAAGTCAGATCTCGCCAGAAGGAGACCTTAGCGTTATACAATAAGTCGGCATTTTGTCACAGTGGAATGTTAGCGCAAGATGATGCCGTTCTTTTCTGGCATTTCTTTTAGATAGTGCTCAATGCCGCTGCACGTTGTGTGGGACCATCCTTACGCACAGACGCAAATTGCAGCGATTTAGACCGAGAAGGGACATTTTCTGCTTGGCAGCTTCAGGACTTTGGATGCAGAGCTGCTATCGTTTTGTCGAGTGTTAGGTCCAAAGTGCTAGGACGCTAGGCTAGGGTCGCAGCCTCGCTGGACCTTGCTCGTCATGATTGATTTGTCTTGTGGGATAGGTGGCACCTATCCAATAGCAACCTTGGTGGTGTGATAGGTATTTGACAGACGATCAAATTCTATTACATATGTGACGTTGTTAATCTCCGCGTATTCTAGCGTATTTCTACTTGTAAGACATATCGTTGTATAGCAAGAATGGGAACGAGCCACCGGACGTCGTTATCCGCAGCCGAGTAGGTCGCTTTGTGCTTAAGTATGTGTAAAAAGTGGTAGTTGGTAAGATTTATAAGTTGTAAATGTCGCTTTTATTCATGCGATTTCAAGAAATACAAAAGTACAATAATCAGACAGGAGATATGTATACCCCTTATCCAAGCACGTAAGTTACGGCAAGCATAACATTTACTTACATGCAACAATTGTATTAACACTTAGTTGCTCCACAAAACAGCTGTTCACACGTCACTTGTATTTGCCATTTGCCTGCATTCCATTATGTCGTGAACTGCAACTACACCTGCGGACCGTCGCTATGAACGCTTGGCCGTCACAAGCCTGTTATCCCTGTGGTAACTTTTCTGACACCTCTTGCTTCAAACTCCGAATATCAAATTCAAAAGGATCGATAGGCCACGCTTTCACGGTCTGTATTCGTACTGAAAATCAAAAGCAAGTAAGCGTTTGCCCTTTTACTCCACGCCAGGTTTCCGTCCTGGCTGAGCTCACCTTGGGACACCTGCGTTAACATTTGGCAGATGTACCGCCCCAATCAAACTCCCCGCCTAACATTGTCTTCAGAACGGGTCGCACATGACCATCAGACTCAAACACCAAGGCGATAGCCAAAGCTCATCTGACATGACCAAGACACCAATCCCCGCAACGTAAGTCACGGACGTCAGCATGTGCTTAGCACTAAAATTCATTCCCCGTTTTGCTAAATAATCGAAGAAACAATGACGGTGGTGGTATTTCATTGACGCTCAGCCCCGAAAGACCTCGCTGCCACTTATTCTACACCCGTCATGTCTCCTCACAAAGTCGGGCTACAGTCAAGCTCAACAGGGTCTTCTTTCCCGCTACTTCTGCGAAGCCCGTTCCCTTGGCTGTGTTTTCGCTAGATAGTAGATAGGGACAGTGGGAATCACGTTAATCCATTCATGCGCGTCACTAGTTAGATGATGAGGCATTTGGCTAGTTCAAAACATGTATTTTCGGAAATGAAGCGGACGCTTCTCATTTGCATGGCCAAATCCTAAGCACAAACTATTGTATGTCTGGGGCAGTTGATCGCCAAACTGGCGCAGACATACAAATAGTCACTCTAGGTTCGGTATAGTTACTCCAACCGGAGCACTCATTCACTGTCAAACAATGTTACACTCTCTATTTTGAGAGCATGGGTAATCAAGTTGAATGTACGTATGGGTTAGGGCAGATGTGTTGGGGGGATAGGGTAAACATCAATCTTCTCCGTCCGCCTTCATTGTTCCGAGTTCACGCGCCGTCACTGCGCTATTGTGGTGGAACCTGTGCACATCGGTACGCATCCCCCTGCTTCTCCAGTTTCCCGAATTTTCAGGTTTCCATACGTACGTCACCTCAGATCTGGAAAGAGATCGCAAAAGAGATCAGTGATACAGAGCGTTTATATCACTGGTTCGCAACCAGTGCCTCTCATATAAACGTCGTAGCATTTTAACGATCCGATGATCGTCAGGACACATAGGTCCGATATACACCTGTTACTGACTCCCATCGAGCGCAGCCCAGCTGCGGAGCGGCTGTATACAAAGCCGCGGTCTGAAATTATAAGAGGCAAGTGCCTCACCACCGTTGTTGTCGGCACGCGTGCCGGTTTCTTCCCTGAAGCAAGCTTTAACACCCCTGCATTCACGGTTAGACAGTCGTACTTGCGGATCTTCTCCTCCCAAGAGATCGCCATCCGCCCCCCATTTACAATAGTGACATCGCACACTATGACGCGGTTACCAGACTTTATCACTAAGTCCGGCTTGCAGTACGTCTCACTTCGTGGGATTATGGGTTCTTCCCACACTGCATATCCCTTTCGCCTCAGCACTTTGGCTGTCTTCTTAGCCACTCTGTTGTGCCTGGCACAACGGGCACCATGAGTCAACGCACGTTTTTGGAGAATGTGCCCAATCGATTCTGGATGACCGCAGGATCCTCGACATCCCACCTCTTCCTTCTTGCGACTGGCGCCCCTGTTACGCCGAACTTTCATGGGCATGACTCCGGCACGTAACTTGATGCTTCTAATATACAACCTGGGGAACACTCGGGCACTCTCTCTAACCCAGAGATTGCTGGCGGGATCTTGCAAATCCAACCTCAAATCTCGGCCATCTAGTTTACTGGCCAGCTGTTCACCCCATGCTTCGTTCGCTTCCGCTTGGTTATTCACCACCTCATTGCCCACTCTGACTGGAACGTTAGCTTGCCTAACGTCCACCTGAAAGGCCTCTTGGTGGATGAGATCACGAACCCAGTGATCCGGAGATGACAAAATGCGAGTCATCTTGTCCCTTTGAAGTAAGGGCACTGCCACCGTAAAGTTTAATAGGCCCAAGCCTCCTCTGCGCTTCGACAAATGAAAGTATGCAGTACTTGTGTTTTTAGGTAACCGAAGTCACCTTACCGCTTCCCGCGTCATACCATCCAGCATGCGCAGGGTATTTCGATGCGCGTTTCCCAACACGAGCTCGTATAGCAGTTTCCATATCAAAAAGTCACTGAGTACGTCAACTTGTTGTTGTGGTTTCAGTGGTGCAGCGATCTTTGCTCCAACATCTCACCAAACTTTTGTGTGCTCTTTATATTGCGCCTGCCCCTCCAGTCAAACTGAAGGTCAAGGTATTTTACTTCAGCAGTCACGGTAAGCGGTGTGACTTTTTCCCCGTCTACCAGATATTCGCTTTCTTCTAGAGCAACGGTCTTCAGCTTGTCGACTTGTTACCGTCATAGCACGGCACTTCTTTGTGTTAAGGACCATACCAACCTCCTTCAAGCTCATTGTAAGTCGGTCAAGCTTGCTCTGCATTTCCTCTTTGCATGTTGCAGTAAGCACCAGGTCGTCTGCGTAGGCTAGTGCCCCTAAGGGTTTGGCACCTAGCTCTACTCCTGGCCTTTGGTCCGACACTCGCAGGACTTCATCAAGCACCATTATGAACAACAACGGGGAAAGGGGATCTCCTTGCCGCACCCCACGGCCAACTTTTACTTCGTTCCTCTCTATGAGCACACGCGAGTTTGAGTAGACTTGACTCAAATATCGCAATAGCGGATCCGGAGCACCTTGCGACTGCGCTGCCCGCAATCCCGATTCATGCGACCCCTTATCAAACGCTTTTGTCACGTCTGAGAACGCAACAGCTGCATTTCTCTTGTCCACATGAACGGCTCGAAGCAGACAGCCTCAAGGCACCCGTCAGTTGCTGGAACGCGACTTGCACGCTCGACAGAGTCATTGCTGACCTGCATGTCCGCGCGAGAACTCTGTGAAATGCCCGCATTACCACGAAAGCCACAGCAATAGGTCGAAACCCAGTAACTTCTTGGGGACTGGCAACTTTAGGAATCAATGACCTCCTAACCAAACTCAGGTTTTCCAGTACTACAAGTAGCAACATAAAATTCATCAATGCGATGAGTACAACCGGGTTATAAGCCTTTGGCATTGTCATGGTCACCCTATCTGGGCCCGGGGTGGTGTCCCCCGTTCCAAGCGACTGATTCAGTTCGACCACCGTTATTGGTTGAATCAGATCCATCCTGGTGGGCACTCGTGGAACTGCGCGCTTATCGGGGTGACTAGGTTCTGCCATCAGCGATTTTCAGTACGCTTCTAGGTTAATATCATGCTGCACTTCCACGTTCCATCGAGCACACTCTTCGCTGCGTCTTTCCGCTTTTTCGCATAAAGTCGCTGCAATCGCTTATACTGAGCCTTGCGCTTCCCTTTCTTTGTCCCTTGCTTGCCCTCTAAGGGAGAAGCCTTCCGGTGCCACTTTATCGGAAAGGATTCATTTAGGATCTTCTGGAATTCTTTAGTCACATCAGACCAGACATAACACCACACTGAAGGTTCACCGCCACATTCAGTAACCTGCTGGAACCAACTTGTCCTATCGTGTTTGTCAATAAGCAGTCAACAATATCTCGCAACATTTCTGTTCGCGATTCCGATACCTTGATTTGGCCACCTACACCCTCCGGGGTTGCCGGAGGATCTAGGTCCACCACGTCCTCGTGTCTCGCTCGTTCGATCATTGGGAGGTCGGAGATTACCTCCATGGTGGCGGCCAGTGTCTGGTCAGCCGGAGAGGAGCCTAAGGGCTGACTGTCCAGTCATCCGACGTGCCCGTTTAGCCGGTCTCTCTTCCTGTAGGGGTGACACCACTGCCGATCTGGCCCCCGAAGCAGTGGCCCCTAGGTATCGCTTCATCTCCCAACCGAGTTTTCTCAGTTGCTTTTTAACGCCCTCTGCTGTTCTCCCTTGTAGTTCATTCTCGAGCATTACATATAACTGCTGCTTTTCTGAGCAACGCTCCATCAGATGGTTCGCTTTCTCCACAACAGTGTGGCATTCGTATCCCGACCATTCGCCCCTCCGCTTTGGCAATTGTTCCAGCCGCTCTGCATTGAGCTGCACCGGATGCCTATGACGCTTATGTTGACCCAGACCTTGTCTGGTCTTGAATTTTAGACCATAAATTGGACACAAAAAGCAAGGCGACGCTTCACCACCCCCGGATGATGACCCCTGCTTCCGTGACTCCTCGCCAGACTCCATTACCCGCGAAGAAACAGTAGCACCCAACTTCCCCCCAACCGCAAGCGGAAGGGTCTCCAGTTGGGCTGCAGGCGTCAGAGTAACGTTCAGACTAACTTCCCCATAGATTTCAGGGGCAGTTCCAAGCCATTCATGCAACACATTTTGCGTTACGATGTTTGAAATACCCTCCCGGTGCGACAGGACTCCGTTTTGCGTTGCAGTTAGTGAGCCGGCTACGCCGCTTGATCTCTCCCTAACCACAAGTGGCTGAGTGTCCGACCAAACAGCAGCACTGAGCGCGGAGGTCTGACCCATCCTCCCAGCGAAGCTCGAGGCATAAACATCGTGTACATGCGCCATATATTCGCTCTAAATCTTGGCGTCCATATCCACGGGCATCAACCGCTTCCAGCTAAATGTTCTGGTCTTTTCCACCTCCTGCCTTTGCAAGCCGGTAACTACACTCAGCCTCCTCCCTCCCACAGATAAGTGGGCCCTTCGATCGGCGTCATTTTGGTATTCTCTGACAATTCCAGGGTCTGGTCCACCAAATATCTAATCGAGGACCTCCCTGGAATTGTCAGAGAATACCAAAATGACGCCGATCGAAGGGCCCACTTATCTGTGGGAGGGAGGAGGCTGAGTGTAGTTACCGGCTTGCAAAGGCAGGAGGTGGAAAAGACCAGAACATTTAGATGGAAGCGGTTGATGCCCGTGGATATGGACGCCAAGATTTAGAGCGAATATATGGCGCATGTACACGATGTTTATGCCTCGAGCTTCGCTGGGAGGATGGGTCAGACCTCCGCGCTCAGTGCTGCTGTTTGGTCGGACACTCAGCCACTTGTGGTTAGGGAGAGATCAAGCGGCGTAGCTGGCTCACTAACTGCAACGCAAAACGGAGTCCTGTCGCACCGGGAGGGTATTTCAAACATCGTAACGCAAAATGTGTTGCAAGAATGGCGTGGAGCTGCCCCTGAAATCTATGGGGAAGTTAATCTGAACCTTACTCTGATGCCTGCAGCCCAACTGGAGACCCTTCCGCTTGCAGTTGGGGGGAATTTGGGTGCTACTTTTTCTTCGCGGGTGAAGGAGTCTGGCGAGGAGTCACGGAAGCAGGGGTCATCATCCGGGGGTGGTGAATCATCGCCTTGCTTTTTGTGTCCAATTTATGGTCTAAAATTCAAGACCAGACAAGGTCTGGGTCAACATAAGCGTCATAGGCATCCGGTGCAGCTCAGTGCAGAGCGGCTGGAACAATTGCCGAAGCCGAGGGGCAAATGGTCAGGATACGAATGCCACACTGTTGTGGAGAAAGCGAACCATCTGATGGAGCGTTGCTCAGAAAAGCAGCAGTTATATGTAATGCTCGAGAATGAACTACAAGGGAGAACAGCAGAGGGCGTTAAAAAGCAACTGAGAAAACTCGGTTGGGAGATGAAGCGATACCTAGGGGCCACTGCTTCGGGGGCCAGATCGGCAGTGGTGTCACCCCTACAGGAAGAGAGACCGGCTAAACGGGCACGTCGGATGACTGGACAGTCAGCCCTTAGGCTCCTCTCCGGCTGACCAGACACTGGCCGCCACCATGGAGGTAATCTCCGACCTCCCAATGATCGAACGAGCGAGACACGAGGACGTGGTGGACCTAGATCCTCCGGCAACCCCGGAGGGTGTAGGTGGCCAAATCAAGGTATCGGAATCGCGAACAGAAATGTTGCGCGATATTGTTGACTGCTTATTGACAAACACGATAGAACAAGTTGGTTCCAGCAGGTTACTGAATGTGGCGATGAACCTTCAGTGTGGTGTTATGTCCTGGTCTGATGTGACTAAAGAATTCCAGAAGATCCTAAATGAATCCTTTCCGATAAAGTGGCACCGGAAGGCTTCTCCCTTAGAGGGCAAGCAAGGGACAAAGAAAGGGAAGCGCAAGGCTCAGTATAAGCGATTGCAGCGACTTTATGCGAAAAAGCGGAAAGACGCAGCGAAGAGTGTGCTCGATGGAACGTGGAAGTGCAGCATGATATTAACCTAGAAGCGTACTGAAAATCGCTGATGGCAGAACCTAGTCACCCCGATAAGCGCGCAGTTCCACGAGTGCCCACCAGGATGGATCTGATTCAACCAATAACGGTGGTCGAACTGAATCAGTCGCTTGGAACGGGGGACACCACCCCGGGCCCAGATAGGGTGACCATGACAATGCCAAAGGCTTATAACCCGGTTGTACTCACCGCATTGATGAATTTTATGTTGCTACTTGTAGTACTGGAAAACCTGAGTTTGGTTAGGAGGTCATTGATTCCTAAAGTTGCCAGTCCCCAAGAAGTTACTGGGTTTCGACCTATTGCTGTGGCTTTCGTGGTAATGCGGGCATTTCACAGAGTTCTCGCGCGGACATGCAGGTCAGCAATGACTCTGTCGAGCGTGCAAGTCGCGTTCCAGCAACTGACGGGTGCCTTGAGGCTGTCTGCTTCGAGCCGTTCATGTGGACAAGAGAAATGCAGCTGTTGCGTTCTCAGACGTGACAAAAGCGTTTGATAAGGGGTCGCATGAATCGGGATTGTGGGAAGCGCAGTCGCAAGGTGCTCCGGATCCGCTATTGCGATATTTGAGTCAAGTCTACTCAAACTCGCGTGTGCTCATAGAGAGGAACGAAGTAAAAGTTGGCCGTGGGGTGCGGCAAGGAGATCCCCTTTCCCCGTTGTTATTCATAATGGTGCTTGATGAAGTTCTGCGAGTGTCGGACCAAAGGCCAGGAGTAGAGCTAGGTGCCAAACCCTTAGGGGCACTAGCCTACGCAGACGACCTGGTGCTTACTGCAACATGCAAAGAGGAAATGCAGAGCAAGCTTGACCGACTTACAATGAGCTTGAAGGAGGTTGGTATGGTCCTTAACACAAAGAAGTGCCGTGCTATGACGGTAACAAGTCGACAAGCTGAAGACCGTTGCTCTAGAAGAAAGCGAATATCTGGTAGACGGGGAGAAAGTCACACCGCTTACAGTGACTGATGAAGTAAAATACCTTGGCCTCCAGTTTGACTGGAGGGGCAGGCGCAATATAAAGAGCACACAAAAGTTTGGTGAGATGTTGGAGCAAAGATCGCTGCACCACTGAAACCACAACAACAAGTTGACGTACTCAGTGACTTTGTGATATGGAAACTGCTATACGAGCTCGTGTTGGGAAACGCGCATCGAAATACCCTGCGCATGCTGGATGGTATGACGCGGGAAGCGGTAAGGTGACTTCGGTTACCTAAAAACACAAGTACTGCATATTTTCACTTGTCGAAGCGCAGAGGTGGACTGGGCCTCTTAAACTTTACGGTGGCCGTGCCCTTACTTCAAAGGGACAAGATAACCCGCATTCTGTCATCTCCGGATCACTGGGTTCGTGATCTGACCCACCAAGCGACTTTTCAGGTGGACGTTAGGCAAGCTAACGTTCCAGTCAGAGTGGGCAATGAGGTGGTGAATAACCAAGCGGAAGCGAACGAAGCATGGGGTGAACAGCTGGCCAGTAAACTAGATGGCCGAGATTTGAGGTTGGATTTGCAAGATCCCGCCAGCAATCTCTGGGTTAGAGAGAGTGCCCGAGTGTTCCCCAGGTTGTATATTAGAAGCATCAAGTTACGTGCCGGAGTCATGCCCATGAAAGTTCGGCGTAACAGGGGCGCCAGTCGCAAGAAGGAAGAGGTGGGATGTCGAGGATCCTGCGGTCATCCAGAATCGATTGGGCACATTCTCCAACAACGTGCGTTGACTCATGGTGCCCGTTGTGCCAGGCACAACAGAGTGGCTAAGAAGACGGCCAAAGTGCTGAGGCGAAAGGGATATGCAGTGTGGGAAGAACCCATAATCCCACGAAGTGAGACGTACTGCAAACCGGACTTAGTGATAAAGTCTGGGAACCGCGTCATAGTGTGCGATGTCACTATTGTAAATGGGGGGCGGATGGCGATCTCTTGGGAGGAGAAGATCCGCAAGTACGACTGTCTAACAGTGAATGCAGGGGTGTTAAAGCTTGCTTCAGGGGAGAAACCGGCACGCGTGCCGACAACAACGGTGGTGAGGCACTTGCCTCTTATAATTTCAGACCGCGGCTTTGTATACAGCCGCTCCGCAGCTGGGCTGCGCTCGATGGGTGTCAGTAACAGGTGTATATCGGACCTATGTGTCCTGACGATCATCGGATCGTTAAAATGCTACGATGTATATATGAGAGGCACTGGTTGCGAACCTGTGTGATAAATGCTCTGTATCACTGATCTTTTTGCGATCTTTTTCCAGATCTGAAGTGACGTACGTATGGTAACCTGAAGATTCGGGAAACTGAAAAAGCAGGGGGATGCGTACCGATGAGCACAAGGTCCACCCCAATAGCGCAGTGACGGCGCGTGAACTCGGAATAATGAAGGCGGACGGAGAAGATTGATGCTTACCCTATCACCTCAAACACATCTGCCCTAAGCCATACGTACATTCAACTCGATTACCCATGCTCTCAAAATAGAGGGTAACATTGTTTGACAGTGAATGAGTGCTATGTTTGGAGTAACAATCCAGAACACAGAGTGACTACTTGGATGTCTGCGCCAGTTTGGCAAGCAAATGCCCCAGACATACAACATTATTGTGCTTACAATTTTGCCATGTAAATGAGAAGCGTCCGCTTCATTTCCGAAAATATATGTTTTGAACAAGCCAAATGCCTCGTCATCTAATTAGTGACGCGCATGAATGGATTAACGAGATTCCCACTGTCCCTATTTACTATCTAGCGAAACCACAGCCAAGGGAACGGGCTTGGCAGAATTAGCGGCGAAAGAAGACCCTGTTGAGCTTGACTCTAGTCCGACTTTGTGAGGAGATATGACGGGTGTAGAATAAGTGGGAGCGAGGTCTTTCGGGGCTGAGCGTCAATGAAATATCACCACCGTCATTGTTTCTTTGCTTATTCAGTAAAACGGGGAATGAATTTTGGTGCTAAGCACATGCTGACGTCCGTGACTTACGTTGCGGGGGTTGGTGTCTTGGTCATGTCAGTGAGCTATGGCTATCGCCTTGGTGTTTGAGTCTGATGGTGATGTGCGACCTGTTCTGAAGACAATGTCAGGCAGGGAGTTTGACTGGGGCGGTACATCTGTCAAATGGTAACGCAGGTGTAACAAGGTGAGCTCATCCGGCTGGACGGAAACCTGGCGTGGAGTAAAAGGGCAAAAGCTTACTTGATTTTGATTTTCATTACGAATACAGACCGTGAAAGCGTGGCCTATCGATCCTTTTGAATTTGATATTCGGAGTTTGA